GAAGAAAAGTTAGATTTAATAAATTGCCAAAACTCAGGGTCTTATTAGTTTAAGTTACTTGCCAGTGTACTACAACTTGAAAAAAAAGGAAGGATGCACATATTTATTGCTAAGCTGGGGAAATTGCCATGAAGGCAGTTGGCAGAACGGCTGACATTTTCACAGTCAGAGGTCAGATAATTTTCTACATCTATCCAAGAGAAGGTTTGACCAAGGACTGACAAAAAAATCAAATTATTCTGTTCACTTGGCTGCATCTAAATGTCTCATTTTCAGCTTACAGGAAAGATTGCTATGGAAGCAATCTTTGACGTGACAACAGCGTGACCGTAAATTGCTTGAATAACTGTTGGAACTTCGAATATAAAAACACAGAAAAAGTCATCTGAGGTAGAACTCAGAAAGGATTTTTCACTTATGGTTTACTCCTTATGTAATTTATGGTTCAAATTTTATATTAAGGTATGTTTTAAATCAGCATTTACTTAGTTACACAGAAAGAGATGACGTCCAGGTCACAAGGAAAATCAGTGGCAGAACTGAAAGCTGAATTCTTGAGTTGTAGTTTCCAGCACTTCCAACACTGTGAGAAACAAGTGCTAAGCTTTCTTTATTCTCTCAATGGCAAAATAAAGACTGTACGGTCAGCTTGAAAGTTGGAGATCAAAAAACACTTCCTGCGGTTTCCGGAGAACCAAATTTCCTTTCACAGTCTTGAGTTTCTCGTGTTACGAGTTTAGTTGTGCAAATCAGCCCATTGCTGATAAACACAAACTCCTCTTAGTCCTTGGATCCACATGCCTTTTATTATTAATTTAGTCGTGTAAATCAGTCTTTTGCCAATAAACATAAATTTATATTAGCTCTGGGATCAACATTTTGAGAGGGGATAAAGTAGGGATTGTCTGAGTGTTTTAAAAGGAATGTTGGTCTAAAATAGCTGGTAGAATAAAAATATATTGTACAAACTAAAATAGGGCAAAAGAGCTAAAATGCAGTGGATGGACTAAAATAACTAGCAGTTCACATGAGTCCAAGTGCTAAATACGTAATTATATTTCCCATTACCTTATATGTACAAGACTTGTTTTAATTTTTAAATCGTACATTTTATTCCTTTCATTGTTTTTTTTCCCCTAAATATAGATGAGCCATTGGGTGTAACAATGAGAACATTTTGAGATCGCCATTTTAACTTGGCTATCGCCATTTTAACAATGGCTATTTATTGATTGGTTTGCCTCTCTAAACTGAAAATGAAGATGAATTGAGTTTGACTTATTATTGTCTATCCAGCCACCTCCCTTCCCCAACCTCTTCTAATCCCTTAGTACTTCTAAAAAACCTCTCTCAGCATCCCCAGAAATGACTTACCCAGTGTTCCACATAGATGAAGTAGTCACTTTAGTGTTCACTAATTTTATGAGCGATTGTTGCACGTCCTACTGGGGTTAGGAAAAGAGAGTTTCTGCATGAGCTTTGATCAGTATTAGTACTTGTTTGCTCCAGTAACATTGTCCTTCTTGTTCTTTCTTGAACATCTAGGGCCGCATCACCCCTTTTTATACTTCCTGTTTCCCTTGCCTGGGATGTTTTTCCCCCACATCCCACATGATTTTCGTCCTCACCTCTTTCACGGCTCTGCTCAGTTGTTACCTTGTCAGATTATTCTATTAAGAAGCTATACTTAACCATCTGAGAGTTTTGAGCAAAGGGGGATCGTGATCTGACTGATGTGTTAAAAGGGTTGCTGTGTGTATGGCGATGGAAGCAGACTGCTGGCAAACAAGGGCTGAGCCAGTTGGGGGTGATTGCAACCGTCTAGGCTAGAGGTAGCTGTGGCTCAGATCACGTGGTTGTGTGGTGGCGAGAAGGGGTTGGGGCTGAGGATCTCTTTTGAAGGTAGAATCAGCAGGATTTGCTGCCACCTTGGATGTAGGACAAGCAAGAAAGAGAGGAGTCAAGATCTTGAGGTTTTTTGGCCTGAGGGATTGAGAGAATGGAATTGCCGTTTACTAAAATGAAGAATAAATATCAAAGGAAGGAAACCAAGGGTTTGGTTTTACTCACGATCGTTGGATACATGAAACAAGTTAGGAAAAGGTCTGGGCAGAGATAGAAAATTTGGGAATCATCAGCATATAAAAGGTATTGAAAATCTTGAGCCTGGATGAGATCGCCAAGGAAGTGTCAAGGAACGGGAGAGATCTTGATCTGAGCTGTGGTGGTGTGCACCAGAGTTCAGAGGCCAGGAGACCGTAGGGGAGGCCAGTGAAGTAAAGAAGAACCAAGAGCGTGGGATCCTGGAAACAAAGGGAAGAATGTAAGGAGTAATAATCAGCTATGTCAAAATGCCGCAGAGAGAACAAGTAATAAAATGAGGACAGAGAGATGACCATTGGGTTTGGCAGTGGGGAGGTCATTGGTGACCCTGATGGGCTGTGGGGGTTGGCTGGTGGGGAGAAAGGGCTGACAGGAGAGGGTTCCAGAGAGCATAGTAAAAGAAGAAATGTGTACGTTGAGTATAGACCAGTTCTTTACAGGAGATTGTTTTGTGAAGTTCAACAGAGAAATGAGATGGGACCTGAAGTGAGGTATGAAGTTAAGAAAGATTTTTTTTTTTTTCAGAGAGAGGGCGCAAGTGAGCAGGGGGCAGAGAGAGGGAGAGAGAATCCCATGAGGGGCAGAGAGAGAGAGAGGGAGAGAGAGAAGCGGGGCTCACCGGAAGCAGGGCTTGGGCTCATCCAGTGCAGGGCCCAAACTCACAAGCTGCGAGACCATGACTGCGAGATCATGATGTTAGCTGAAGTTGGATGCTGAACTGACTGAGCCACCCAGGCACCCCCGGAAAAACTTTTTAAATGATGTTTGCATGCTGGTGGGAGTGAGTGGGTAAAGAGGGGAGAATTGCTTATATAGGAGAAAGAATGGGGATAGTGGTTGGGAATTTGTCTTCTTTGATGAATGTCCCTTACCCTGTGGCACTCTACCAGCACCAAAGGAAGACTTTTCATTCTTCCCATACCCCCAAATTCCCACTGGGCCAGATACCCCTCTAATAAGCTCTCGTAGAAATCTGTAGTGTTACATGTTATCCCTATACTCACCTCTTTCAATGTAGGAGCCCCTGTGCTTAGGTCCAAAGAATCCCACTGACCAGGTGGTATTAATTGTAGAGTCCTCCAGTTGCTTAACAAAACACCAAGACCATACCTTTCTGGTCATCTTGGACTCTGATAAAATGTAAGAGTTTTAATAGGCTCTTTCACAAACCTTTTCCTTTCACCTACTGTGATGCAAGCTGTTTATAGATCCTTAGGTGACTCTTAACTATTCTTTCAAGTAGCCTGCGTGTATTGGCATTGGGTACTGAGGATAGCTGCTCAGCACCAATGATTTTCCTTGTTTCTCACCACTGACATTTCTGGCGGCACAGTGGCTGCTGTGAGTCTATCTGGCTTGCCTCAGCTTTGAGTCTGTCCATTCAGTTCTCTCATTTCTGCTTTTTGTGTCATGGGGTTAGGCTTGTGGCAATGAGGAAGTGCTCCGTCCTTAGCTGGAGGTTGATGTAAGTTAAAAGATGTTATAAGCGGCAAAACAACAACTCCCATGTAGATGGTAGTTATTGCTTTTATCTTTTGAGCTCAAGGTTTATATTTCTGTTTGCATTTTCAAAGTTTTAGGTCAGAGTTTAAAAATTGCACCCAGTTGCTAGGGTCATTATAGAAAGGTGTGGTGACTGATGTGCAGTCTTCTGTAAGAGCTGTGCATGTGTGCTTGTGTGCCTTCATTCACTGACCCATAAAAAAATATTTGTAAGTGCTTGCTATGTCTAAAGATATGTTTTAGTAACCTGAGGTGCTTTTTTTTTTTTTTAAGGGGGAAGGCAGTGGAGACATCGGGAGCTGTTTAGTGTTCACAAAATATAAAAAGGATAGAGACCCACTCTTTAGAGTAGTTCTAGATCATCCCTGGAGTTCTTTGTTCAAACAAGTTGTTATAGTGAAACCCAGTATGTCAAAATCCCAAGCTGAACTGCAGGCGTGTAGTGAGAGAGGTTGAAAGACCCAGGATACCACCAGCTCAGCACCCTTCCTTGTGACCTTTGCACACAGGTTCCTTGGAACCCCGAGGTGTCAGCCCAACTGGAAAGACCCTTCTCCATACTGTGACAAAGTGTTTTTAAAAAAATGTGATGCCTTAGACTTTCCCGTCGTAAACAAAACAAAACAAAACAAACAAACAAAAAACCCAAAAAAGAAAAAAACAACAACTTTGATTTCCCATCATCACACAGTGAGAGGAAAACTTTTTTCTTTTACATGAATTTTTTTTCTTTAAAGAAAAGTAAAAGCTATTTTTAGGCTTGGCTAAATGTTTTAATTCTATAAACCTCTGTACATCTTTCCTATGGAAAGAGAATTGAGAGAATTACTGAAAAGTTATTAGTTGATGATGGATGCTAATAGACTGTCCAGGAGATTAGAATCTTATTTGGGGTACCTACTGATAGATTGCTTTATATTATAAGGGTAGAAGTTTGACCTATGTATGTATTTCCAGACATACTATAAGGCATGGTGATACATGTCAGTCATCTGTGAGTTATAAATCTTAGCGAATTGGTCTGAATGCTTTAGTAAAAAGAAATGAATCAAAGGGACAGGTCTGTCTTTATTGCTTGGATTAAAAAAAATCATATATTCATGTATTTTTTTTTACACTTAAAAAAACCAAAAAGGTAATGCTACCTTATAATTGTATTGCACATGAAAAATGCAGATTTAAAAAATTCTGATTGTGCTTTTAGTAGCTAATAATTTAATAATTCTTTTTGATCTTTCCCTACTTTTCCAACCTTCTTTTCTTGCTTGATGTTAGGAAACCCAAACTGAAAATGCCTCCAGTTTGAACAGTTTGAACTTGTGGCCTTGGTGATAATTGTTACTTTACAATCAATTTTTTATTTTAATCTTATTATTATACCTTTTGTCCTACAGACTGGTGAATTTTCAGCTCGTTTCCTCTTGAAATTGCCAGTGGATTTCAGCAATATTCCCACCTACCTTCTCAAGGTAAAAATATACGATATCAGTGTGAGAATGTAAATGAGCTTTTAAAGTAATTATTTGACTCTGAATATTTGTATGATTGGCTTGCCTGCATTTTGTTCAGATGATGAATTTATTAAAAATATTTACTATACAAAGATTACTGAGTTTGTTATCAAAAAGCTAAAATAGTAGCCCTAAAAGTAATTTCAAAATGAATTTTCCTTACAAAATAAAATCCATAATAAGTAAACTAAATTTGGGGAAAACAATCACTGTTAGTAATCTTATTGGGAGGAGAGACTCTCATGGAAGTTGTCTAAAAGGCATTCTTTGGGTAGGATTGCATATTAATTATTGTGTGCTAAAGGGCATCTCATTTTCCTTATTTATGTCAGTAGTTCATCTTAGGCACCTTCATTGTTGGGCTGTCCAGAATTGATTTAGACCAGTGTATATGGCATTCTTTTTTTTTTTTTTTTAATGTTTTTATTTATTTTTGAGAGACAGAGAGACAGCACAAGTCGGGGAGGGGCAGAGAGAGGGAGACACAGAATCCAAAGCAGGCTCCAGGCTCTGAGCTGTCAGCACAGAGCCCAGTGTGGGGCTAGAATGCGTGAACTGTGAGAACATGACCCTAGCCTAAGTCAGATGCTTAACTGACTGAGCCACCCAGGTGCCCCTATATGGCGTTCTTTAAAATGTGTTGCAGGCAAGGTGTGGCTGGGGGAGAGTCACTTTGGGCTGGGGTCTGCAGATGCTTTGCACATAAGAGGCAGAATCCCAGTGACTAGGCTGTGGTTAGCATGAAAGAAACCAAATGGACCAGGGAGCAGGTTTGAACAGAAAGTCGTAACACAAGGCCTAGGTTCATCACAAATGAGGATCTGGGTTGGGATTTAAGATATAGCTAGCTGCCCTCAGCCCTGTATTTCAACGTGTAGTTGTATAGCTTTAGTCTAATGGAAGAGAAATGTCTGCCTTCCTAATTTGATGTTGTGCAGAGAGTTAATGGTATTTACAATCATTTAGAGAGAAAGAAACCTTGTACAAGTTTCCTGGTATATTGTAGCCATAAATAATACTAGATACTAATCTTGATTGGAAGTATGGTTTGGTGGAATATAAGCTATAGACCATAGAAAAGATTACAGAACACTTTTTATTTTTTATTTTTGAGAGAGAGACAGACTATGAGCAGGGGGTGGGGGCAGGGTGGGCAGGCAGGAGAGAGGGAAACACAGAACCCAAAGCAAGTTCCAGGCTCTGAGCTGTCAGCACATAGCCCTACACGGGACTCGAACTCATGAACTGTGAGATTGTGACCTGAGCTGAAGTCAGATGCTTAACCGACTGAGCCACCCAGGTGCCCCAAGGGAACGCTTTTTAAAATACATTCTACTTGGGGCGCCTGGATGGCTCAATCAGTTGAGTGTCTGACTTGGGCTCGGGTCACGATTTCATGATTCACGAGTTTCAGCCCTGCGTAGGGCTCTGTGCTGACAGCTCAGAGCCTGGAACCAGCTTTGGATTCTGTGTCTCCCTCTCTGTCTGCCCCCACCTCCCTGCTTGTACTCTGTCTCTCTCTCTCTCAAAAATAAATGAAACATTAAAAAAAATACCTTTCACTCAAGGTGGGGAAATTATTTTCTTTCACCCTAAGTAAAACATGGGAGTTTTGTGCTTCATTAAACTTTTGTTTTTAATTTCTCATTGACTAGTTTTCCACTCTGTGTCTAAGGGTTATGAAGTCCAAGTAAGAATGGAAGTCAGCAATTTATATCAGTTTCTCCACACTCCTGTTGTGGAAAATATGCATATTATATCTGTGATTACCAAGCATAATTAATTTGGTTTTAGCAATTACTATGCTCTATTCGAGTAGCAAGCAGTCTCCTTGGAAACTTAGATCACAGACTCATCGACCTGCGTGGATTCCAGTTAAAACTCTATTTCAGCTCATTTAAAGCCAAATTCAATAGTATATGAGAGAACTTTATTTCTAGAATCACGTCAATCCATTATTTATAGTGACAGTATCTGTTTTGATTTGTTGGGCCTTATCAGTTGGATGGGTTGTCTTGTTTATTTGAATCTAATGTTGCTCCTGCTCATGTTCTTGAGGGTCAAGGCAAAAAATATATCTTGTATTATAATCTAATTTTTTTCTTTTCAAAATCAAATTTCCATATTTTCTACTCCAAGAGTCCTAACTTTGTATTATTATGTCCTTACTTTCCTTGCCAGTCAGATAGGAAAAAGGTGGAAACTATTTGGCAAAACCGGAAAGCTTCCCCCCAACCCCCCACACCCCCAAGGTACTATGAAATGACATTTCTACCATAGATGAAATGCCTACATTGCAGCACTGATGTCTTTCTGGATCTTTAATCCATTCAAAAAGAATAAAGCCACAAGGACAGAAAAAGGAAGGAAAGAAGGAAGGAAGGAAGGAAGAAAAGGAGGGAAGGAAGGAAAGAAAGAAAAAAAAAGAAAGAAAGAAAGAAAAAACTTTCTTGTATAACACAAAACAACCAGGAAAAAAAAATACCTGCCTAGCAGAAGTAATCCAGAATGCCCACTGAAGGTTTTAAAATCTAAGTTCCTAAAGTTTTTGTATCATAACCTTGGGACATTTGGCTGTACTACTCTAAAAACTGAGTTTGCGTTAGGAACTGATTTACATATTATTAGCATTTGGATGTTCCTAATCTGATTACCAGGCTGCTATCTGATAGTCTTAGTCCCAAAATAAAGTCTTCAGATTCTTAGGATGAGGATACTGTTCAGCATCAATGTAGTTTTGCCTCACCATCCCAAAGAAATGAAAAGTGAAGTAGAATTTTAAAAATTGAAATAACATGGAGTTTGACGACGTACTGATTTGCTACAGTGAAATTTGTTTGTACCATGATGAAGCCATCATCCACGTAATAAGTTTATATTTCCAAGCATACTTCTTTTACCCATGAAAAGAATTTTTTCATGTGAGAATGAAAAATCCATTAAATATTCGATGATATGATTTTACTTAATATACTTTCGGCATATATGGTTCTTACATGGACTAGAGTGAATTTATTGTGAGAATGAGTCCTGACTTCAATGTCTAAATTTTATCCTTGGATGAGGTAAGTCAGTGGGTCAGATAAATCACTTACATAAAAACTCAGGAAAAAAAATACTTCGGTATTAATTAGGATTCTTTATTTGTGGGTGGTGGAAATCCAGCACAAACTACCAGAAATGAAATGGGAGATGTAGTACAAATCCCCTGTTTCTGTAGTCCACATAGCAGGATAATCTACAGATAGACATAGATCAGCTTTCCCGTGTCCGTCCCACTTGGGCCAGGTATGCACCCTTGAACTTCTCAACTGGTGTGTTTATGTTGAGAAATTGTGGTCCCAGAATAAAGGGCAGATTACTGAAATGACAAAAGTGTAAGAGTCACTCTAGTTACTAAACCAGAGAAGGTTGTGTTATCTCACTATGGAGTATGGCTTCCCTGAAAAAGAAAAACTGCTTTCCAGCCTCATATACTCAGGTTTAATAATTCTCAGACCCAAGAATAAAGACAAGAACATACACAAGTCAGTTTTCACCACATCCTAAAGGAAATCAAGAGCAGCAACTTCTAATGACTAGGATTCAGCCTCGTGACCTGTTCTTTGAGAAAAAACATACACTAAAAATTCATTTTATGGCAGTTGTGTAAGCGGTTACTGGAGTGTCTCTACACTAGGTTCCATTGAGCCCTAGCCCAGCCCAGAGGTAGTACCATAACCAACTTACTGCGACTGAAGTACTTGGACTTCTGGTTTCGACAGTAATCTTCTCAGCATCATTTAACTTGACACAGTCTGAAGGATTGCTTGCTACAGTAGTTTAGTCCCACTGTGGTGTCTGAATCATAACGCTGTATGGAAATGAATTGAAGGTGAAAAAGCTGCATTGGGCCGTGTGTGTTGGGAGATGAGGTGCTCAACCTTCTTACCCTTCAGAAGCCACCATGGCTGATCAGCCAGGGCACAGTCAGCGCAGGGTAGTGGAACACAGGTCACTCTGCCAAACAGAGGCAGACAGCAGGAATTAAGGTCAGGATATCCAGACAGCTTCCAGGGCCCAGGACAGGTAGAGAGTCTCAGGCAGATATCCAGACTGAAATCCTACATGGTGTAAGAAGGTCATTAACATGGGGGAGAGTCCAAGACTACTTGTGTGGGAAGGAGCTGCCTCCTCAGCCTGACATTGACTGGCGGGTTCACCTGCTTAGCCATCCTTTTCTCTTATCACATGTAGGTTAGCAACTGCAGGTGCTCTCAGGGCCAGGCATGTACTGAGGAGGCATGAATCTGGCTGGATGTATATAACACAGTAAGAAATGGTGAGAGCCGTAGAGAGCCGGCACGTGTGTGCTTCATGTAGAGCAGCAGCTGCTACTCAGCTACAGAGTTGTTGCCTGTGAAAGTGTGGGCCTCCTGCTGCCAGATATACAGATGTTATGAAAAGGAGCCTAGATTCTCAGGGGTTTTTATCTGGAAAAAAATGGCTGCTTTTTAAGTGACGGCAACGGATAAATATTTTTTTTAAACACTGCTGGCCAAACAGAATACTTTGTGTGTTGGCCATGGCAGTCTGATATAGCCAGGTAGGCTGTGGAAGGGTGTTCTGGAGAAAATCTCAGGCAGATAAGGCACCACGCCCCAGGGCATAGGGTGGTCATCCGTTGCCGGACTATGAGAGCAGTAGATGGATTGGCACCACGTTTCGCCTTCAGATGTACAGACACCGATTCTGAACTAGGGAACCATTTTGTGTTTGTCAGTGTTCTCCAGAGAAACAGAAAAAACAGAACACTTATGAGAGGATATTTATTACACGAATTGGTTTACAAGGTCACGGAGGCCAAGAAGTCCACAGTGTGCCGTCTGCAAGCTAGAGAACCAGGGGAGGAGAGGAGGCCCTGGTGTAAATCATGGAGTGTGAAGGCGAGCGAGCCAGGAGTTCTCATGTCAAGGGCA